CCAGCTTCTGGTGGCTGCCGGAAACCCTGGGTTTGTGGTCACATCACTCCAATCTCTGCATCACTCCAATCTCACATCACTCCAATCTCTACATCGCCTTCTGCTCTGTGTGTGTGCATGTGTGTGTGTGTGAAATCTCTCTCTTAGAAGGACACCTGTCACTGGATTTAGGGCCCACCCTAAATTTAGGATGATCTCATCTTGAGATCCTTAATTTAATTATGTCTCAAAGACCCTTTTTCCAAATAAGGTCACAGGTTCTGTGGTTTAGGGTGTGGACATATATTTGAGGGAGGGGATACCATTCATTCCACTCATTTTACGGGGCCTCCTGAGAGAATTTTGGACAGCACCCTCCCATCAAAGAAGAAACACCATATGGCATGCAGACTTCCACCACCCGGTGGATGGGTGACGCTGATTTAAAATGTACTTTGGGGGGCTTCCCTGGTGGCGCAGTCGTTGAGGGTCCGCCTGCCGATGCAGGGGACACGGGTTCGTGCCCTGGTCTGGGAGGATCCCACGTGCCGCGGAGCGGCTGGGCCCGTGAGCTATGGCCGCTGAGCCTGCGTGTCCGGAGCCTGTGCTCCACAACGGGGGAGGCCTCAGCAGTGAGAGGCCCACGTACAGCAAAAAAAAAAAAAAAAAAAAAATGTACTTTGGGACTTCCTTGGTGGTCCAGTGGTTAAGGTGCGACTAGGGTTCAATCCCTAGTCGGGGAGCTGAGATCCCATGTCTTGTGGCCAAAAAACCAAAACATAAAACAGAAGCAGTATTGTAACAAATTCAAGAAAGACTTTAAAAAATAAATAAATAAAATAAAATGTACTTTTCAAGCGGCTGGGTGCCCTTTGAGCCTGATTCCCCTGGGTGGTGATTTGCATGGAGTTGGATGTTTCAGTGACATGTTCATCTTGGAGCAGCCAGTGAAATAATAAACCAGCACAGAGAGCAGCGTGCTAATCCCTCTCACATCCATGATGGGCTCCTCAGTGGCTCACCCATTTTACTGATAGGGAGACTGAGGCTGGAGAAGCTACTTTATCTTTTCAATTATTTATTTATATTGAAGTATAGCTGATTTCCAGTGTTCTGTTAGTTTCAGGTGTACAGCAAAGTGATTCAGCTATACATACATATATATCAGATTCTTTTCCCTTGTAGGTTATTACAAAATATCGAGTATAGTTCCCTGTGTTATACAGTAGGTCCTTGTTTATCTATTTTATATATAGTAGTGTGTATCTGTTATATTCTAAACTCCTAATTTATCCCTCCCTGCTTCCCCTTTGGTAACCATAAGTTTGTTTTCTATGTCTGTGGGTCTGTTTCTGTTTTGTATGCAAGTCAGGAGAAGCTACTTTATTTATTTACTGGCCTCGCTGTGCGGCTTGTGAGATCTTAGTTCCCAGACCAGGGATTGAACCCGGGCCCCGGCAGTGAGAGCGCTGAGTCCTAACCACTGGACAGCCAGAGAATTTTCTGGAAAACTACTTTAGACACCTGAAGTCGTGCAGCTGGGTTAGTAGCAGACATGGATTTTGGACCCAGGAAGTCTGGTCCCAGGGCCATCAGCTATTCAGCCTCCAGGAGAATCTTGGTGGTTTCTGGCTTGGAGGTCTTACAGGATGGTGGAGCCGCTCTAGCCACAGTGAAAGGAGGGGTGTGTCATGCGGGGAGAGCATTTGGTTTGGGACATACAGAGCGAGAGGTCTCTGGAGCACACGTGCGTGATTCATCCAGGAAACATTCACTGAGTGCCGCTGCGTGCTCCTTGCCGGGCCAGGCTTGGGGGACACAGCTGTGGACACAGCAGCAAAAAGCCCAGGTGATGGAGTGCGAGTGGGTTGAAGGGGCTGCAGATCCCGGAGTCAGAGGAGGAGGATACAGAGGATGTTAGAGAGAGATAGGCGCCAGGGAGAAAAGCGCAGCCTGTGTGTGTGTGTGAGAGAGAGAGAATGGCAGCTGCGGGCGGGGAAGGTTAGCACACGGGAGACACGGGGCCTCTAGGACGGCCTCACGCACACTCTGGTGTGTGTACCGGGCAGACGCTGGGCGGGCAGGGGGCACTTGGGTAGAGCTTAATGGACACGACTGGCAGGTAGCAATTTGGTGGCTCTCGGGACAGAGTGGTGACTTCTAAACTCTTCCATAGGAAATGTGCAAACAACAGGTCTTCTAACATCTCCAGCTTCTGAGCAGGAGCCTTTGTAGTCACAAGTGCGGCCCACCTGGAGTTGTCACCTGGGTTAGGCTGTGGCCTCGGCAGAGGGCCCCGAACTGCGGAGGGTGGTGGACGGGGAGAGAGCAGCGCAGCACCGTGGGGTAAAAGAGCGGGGACGGGGCGCTGCAAAGAGCCAGAGGAGAGAAGGTACGAGGTCACCCGGCTGAGACGGGCCGGCTGAGATCCTGGGGCCGAGAGCCACCTTCCGGTGGGGTAGGGTGAGGAAGGGGCTGGGGGTCTCCAAGGCCCACTTTGACCTTGGCTAGGAAGAAGTGTGCAGAAGGAGAGGCCACGAAGAATTACTGTGTTTGTGTAACCTGGTGGCTTCGAGCTTGGTTTCAGAGAATTCTCCAGTAAATCTGCATGATAAGGGCTTTTTTTTCTTTTTTTTTTGCCGCACGCGGGCCTCTCACTGCTGTGGCCTCTCCCGTGGCAGAGCACAGGCTCGGGACGCGCAGGCTCAGCGGCCATGGCTCACGGGCCCAGCCGCTCCGCGGCACGTGGGATCTTCCCGGACCGGGGCACGATCCCGCGTCCCCTGCATCGGCAGGCGGACTCCCAACCACTGCGCCACCAGGGAAGCCCCTTTATGTCTTTTTTTTAAGGTTTAAACAATAGAAATGTATTGACACAGTTTCGGGATCTAATAGTCTGAGACGAAGGGGTTCGTTAGTGGTTTACGTCCTAAATAATGTCTCTGGGCCCCACTACCTCGCCTACAAATCGGTTTCCAGTTCAGGAAAGGCCCCGCCTCCCTTGAATCCCAGAGAATTTCCTTACTTTTGCGAAACATTTATGTATTTTTTAAACCTTGACTCAGGCGGTAGGGGCCCACTGCTCTCTGGCTGACGTGTCTCCCGTTGGGCCCTTACGCCCCCAGAGCTCTTCACACGTAGCCGCCCTTGGGGAGCTCGGGCTCTCGGGATATTGGGACTGATGACAGAGTTTCGTCAGGATAGTGAAAGCAGATGGGCCCCCTGCCCCTGGCCTGAGAAGACTCCCTCTGCCCGATCCCGTCCTTTCTCTGTCCTGTCTCCTCTCCCGAGCAGGGTGTCCTGATGGGGTAACATCTGAAAGAACAGGTGGCGGAGGCTCGTTCCTTCTTCTCACTGAGCCTCTTTTATTTTTGGTTTGTTTGTTTTTATTCTCTCTTTGGCTGCGTCGGGTCTTCGTTGCTGCGCACGGGCTTTCTCTAGTTGCGGTGCGTGGGCTTCTCATTGTGGTGGCTTCCCTTGTTGCAGAGCACAGGCTCTAGGCGCGCGGGCTTCAGTAGTTGTGACACGTGGGCTCAGTAGTTGTGGAACACGGGCTTAGTTGCTCTGCGGCATGTGGGATCTTCCCGGAGCAGGGAGGACTCCGTGTCCCCTGCGTTGGCAGGCGGATTCTTAACCAATGTGTCACCAGGGAAGCCCCTGGTCCCCCTTTCTGCTGGCTCTGCCCACTGTCTAGCCTGAACCCCCGATGGCAGGTGAGGGGTGGTCTGATGTGGGGTCCCTCCTCGGGCCCCACGGATGGAACTTCCGCAGGGGTGAGGCTGGGGGGCAGGAAGTAGGGGCCCCGGGTGGGGGACTCCTTGTGGGGTCCACGGGGAACCCCGACGGGGAGCCTCAGTCCTGGGCCTGCAGTGCCCTGCCCCCACCCCCAAGACACACGGGGACGAGGGTCTGGCAGTGGGAGTGGCTCCTGCCTTGCGTTCCCCACCCCAGCCAGGCCTTCAGGGTTTCTAGGATGGCATTCCTTCCCCTGTGCCCTGGAATCCCTGCCCGGCACCACCCAGCACCTGTGCTCAAGACCCTTCCCCGTAAATAGGGTGGGAGGGGGCGAGGAAGGGTCAGGCGGGGCCAGGCACCCATGGTGGGCCTCCCAGGGCTCTCCCGGGCATTAGCGGCGCTCGGGTGAGAGCCTGCGGCACCATTAAATACTGCCGGTGGCTGAAGAAAAGCTAAAAAGCCTTTTTGGTTCAGAGAAAAACATGTAAAACGGGCCCCAACCTTCAGTCCGATACCGCTCTGGACTTCCTCAGGCCACCCAGGGACCCCAGAGGGCCCGTCTGGAGCTGGGTGGGAGGCGGCTCCGGCTCTGAGGCCCTCGGCCACTCTGCGGAGGCCGCTGGGGCTGGGAGGGTGTGGGCAGGGCCAGGGCGTCCAGTCGGGCCTCAGGCCGTCACCGCGCTGGGGCCGAGCTTGGCTCACAGGCTGCCGGCGGCAGGATGGCCGGGGTCACGGCAGGGCCTGTGCTGACGCCTGGTCCGGTGCCCCGGAGCCCCAGGAGCTCTCGCGAGGCCCCGCACAGGCCAGAAACCTGCTTCGCAGGACAGCACGCCCGTCACTTCCAGCCACCACCCTAGGGTCGTGGCAACGAAGGCGCTAGAGAAGAGGCGGGACGAGGGCATCCACCTGGGCCACGGGTTCCCAGTGACGGGACACAGCGCCAGCCCCACGCCCCGGGAGCGCCAGCGCTCTCGAAGGAATGGGGCTGCCTCTGTGTTGTGAAGGGTCCAGGGTGTCCACAGGAGCCGGAGCTGAGACAAGAGGCTGGAGCCGGCTCATGCTTAGTGTTTTATTTCATAAAACAAGCCATGCTTCGGCCCTCAAAACCACGTCCCTGGTACCCCTCCCGTTTCCACCTCCCAGCCGTCTGGCTTCTTTCGGCTTCTTCTAGCCTCACACCAACAACTCTCCTTTGACAAGTCCGTACCTTCCACACATCCTAATAATGGATAAACGTTAAATATTAATTTTACTGCTACAGAAAGGGGCGCTAGAAAAGGCGAGTCTCACTCGGTGCAGAGCACGGCGACGCCGCGCTCATAGAAGCTGCGCGGGTCCTCCTTGGTGGCGATTTCAAAGTCCACGGTGAAGATGAGGTCTGCTCGGGTGAAGTTCAGGTAGACGGGAAGGGTCACCTGCGAGGAAAGGGGGCTCTGGGGCAGGGGCTTCACGCGAGAGGGAGGGGATGGTCCCTCCTGTGACGCAGGGACTCGCGGCCGGAAGAGGGCGGGGACGTCGCCCTGGCGCCCGGTGGGCGTCCTCAGAGTCTCCCTGACCACAGAGGATGGGAAGGAACCACTCACCACGTTAGCCTTTTTCTCTGCATTTGTCTGCTTGACCCAGCGCAGCTGCGTCAGGGGGAGGACGGTGGAGATGGCGTTGGAGAGCGAGAGCTTGTTGTTGTTGCACGTGGCCCCCTGGAGCTTCAACCCTGTGGGGGGGGGGCGGGCGGTCAGGACCCCCCGAGGGGAGCACGAGCTGCGTGGCCACGGGCCTGGGCTCTAACTTAACGCGTTCGCGCGGGAACCACCAGCAGGTGGCCCGCGAGGGGGCGATGGCCGAGCTGCAGGCCCGGGGACAGGGGAGGGGAACCTGAGAGGGAAGAGAAGCCCGGCCGGCCGGAGTGGCCCCCACTCACCCGTGACCCCAAAGCTGCAGGCGTCCAGCGTGGTGCTCTGCGAGGTGGTGACGTTCACCTCCAGGCAGAGCTCCTCCAGGGACCAGCTGTTGGCCTGGGCCACGTACTGCCTGGTGGCAGTGATGTACGCCTCGGGCACAAACAGGCCGCCCAGGCACACATGGATGTTCTGTGGGAAGAAGCAGCCCCAGCTGAGAGCCGGCCCCACTGGGCCCGAGAGCCAGCACCCGGGCCAGCTGCCGACCCTCCCCAGGGATCCTCCCGGGGACCCTCCCCCAGCTCCTCAGGAGCGGCCACCACCTTTAGCTCCTTGGCGCCACCAGAGGCAGCTGCCAGTGAGATGCTCTGCAGCTGTTTGATCCTCTCACTGAAGTCGGAGACCCACTGGATGACGGTCATGCCGGCGGGCACCGTGTAGTGGGACCAGCTCCGGGGCAGAATTCCTGCAAGCGAGGAGCCCCGGCCTGGCATCAGTGCTGACAGCTCCCCCGGCGCAGGTGGGCGCACAGCCGAGCGCTGGCAGGTCTGCCCCCACGTGCAAGCTCTGCTGCTCCCCCTCCCTGGGGCGCCCCACGCCCTGCACGGGCCACCGTCCCCGCCACACGTGCTCCGCGCCCAGTCCGGGTGACTCACAGGACGCGTCTGGAGGAGCACAACCGCCCCGAGG